GACCACTGAAGAACAGGGTAAAAGGGGGCTAACAAAGTATGCAGAGGAACAGTCTGTATATATAGTTAGTGGAGCTGATAAAATGGACAATGAGCGTAGAAACAAGCCTAGTTATGCCTGATCGGTGTATAAAGGCTTCTACACCCAATCAGTGCGGTCTGGAGCCGTTTGGGATCCCGCCAGCGCGTCAGTGAGTGAGAGTGAGTTAAGAGCGGGGCTAGTGTGGGCGGGGTTTGTGCGCACTGAGTCACGGAGGAAGCGGCGGAGCAGAGCTAACGGGGGAAGCCTGTAGAAGAAAGGAGGAGGAGCGGAGAGCGGGAACGGAGTGTGTGTGACTGTGTGTGTGAGGGAGGGAGAGAGTGAGCGTGTGGATGAAAGGAGAGAACCTCACTTGTAGCTGCGCCGTCTTCGCCGATTAAAATCGTTTCTCGGTTTAAAGCGCCAGACCCCAGCCTCGCTCTCATGCTGCCGGAACATGCGAGAGAGCCTCACCATGAAGTTCGCCTGGAAAGCTAAAATGGTAAATAAACACTTTTACACGTCTCAGACTGTCGGCGGTGTGTTGGTAGAGAAAGAGGGCAGACTGGAGGGAGGAGGAGGAGGAGGAGGAGAAGGGGAGAGTGGAAAAGTAGCGGATGAAGAGAAAAAGGGGAGTTGGGGGGGCTGGGGTGCTAAAATTTAAGCTGAATTGTTGCACTATAAGGCTCTTTGTCGCTGTTTTGGCCGTGAGGGTGAACGTGTGCCTCAGTGGCTCAGTCAGAGATCCGGATCCCGTTACTTTGTAACTGCGGGGATGAAAAAGTTGGGACTTCAGTGAAGCAGTGAAGCAGTGAAGCAGCAGCTGAGGACGAAAACAAAAGCTGCTCACTGCTGTTTTCTCCTGCACTGCATGGCTGCTTTCTCACGGTAAACTGAGTGGACTGTGTGGACGAAAAGGGTGGAAAACTTCACTGTGCGGTTGTGGTTTTGGTCCCGTCCCGTCAGTGATGATACAGCCATTCATTAGTTTGTTTGTACGGTTTAAATGGTAAAGTAGCCTGAAGCCCAAGGCCTGCCTGCTCCAGCTGGACTCCAAAACAGGCAAATTATTATTCATCAAGCTGATTTCTTTCTTTGTGGCTCCTTGGCCTGGGCTTTGGGCTTTGGGCTTTAGTGGGCTGTTGGACCTCTTCTTAAGAATTTTCTGTCAGCTTGTTTGTGTACTTTTTGAAGAAAGTAGGTTATGAGCTTAGCTAGTCCTCCCCTCTGGACTAGTTATGCTTTTATACCTTTATAAATTACAATTATTCAGTATTTTGAGAAAATTCACAACCAACCTACATCATTTATATGTGCTATAAATATAATGTTATTTTTTTATACATTAATATGTAAATTTTGTTTGTGAAGCATATTTAACAAATGCTAATTATTATTATTGTTATTATTATTTTTATTTATTTTTTTTATTGCTTTAGCTCTAGTCCTATTACCCCTCTGCTTTTGAATCATGACGCTGGCTGGGATGCAAAGCCGCTTGTGGAAAACATTTATATTCTCAGTACAAAGGGGCCCAGAACTGTGTATAGTGTGGACTCAGCAGGGTCCAGGCCCTGAGCTCACTGACCTCCTGCTATTGTTTTTGCGGCGCAGCCTGCATGACTCGTTGAGCCAGTGATTTATCTCCCAGCACTGTACAGGAAACAGCCAGCAAACGCAGACAGACTGGCCCGCGTCACCCTGCGCTTCTGGCCTGAGGTATATCCAGCTCGCTGGCTCCCGGTTTGACTGCCGGTCCGCTGGTTTAAACAAATAGTTCAGCCAGAAATCAGATGTAGGCTTTTTTCTCCTTGTAGTCGAATAGCCAAGACTTGTTTGGTATCTGAAGTTTGCTTCTTTAGTCTCAGGCTAATGTAACTGACAAGCAATGGAAGCTTCTACCCCACCAGTTCACTGTTGAGCATCAATTAGAAATGTTAAATAATCACAAATAGGCCTGCAGATGTGGTTTCTGACACTGTATGATGTACTGTTATCCATAAAAATAGACAAAAGTACAGACAAAATTCATGCTTCAGTATAAGTACTACTGCTAGTCTAGCTATATATAGTTTTATCCATTTTATAGGTAACAATATGTTACATATTGTGGGAAAATTGTGTGCTTTTTTTTGGCCAGATATTCCTTTAAATCAGTGGTTTTCTATTAAATTCAGGTGCTGCACATATTTTGTATTTTTATTGTCTGTACAGTCCAGACAAGTCAAGTTTTTTGTGTTGTCACCCTTTTGTGTTCTCTCACTACAATACCCAGCATGCATTACAAAAATATGCCATACAGCAATGGGAATCCTCCCATTGATCATTAGAAATCCATGTTGAGGCTTATGAATACAGCTTTTCTGCTTTCTAACAGTAACATTAGCTACTGGGCTCCTTTCTGTATCAGCCAGCTAGTGGGAAAAAAAACATCCCTCCCCACCAAATCCACCTCAGCAGTGTCTTCCACCTTCAAGCTATGTCGTTAGTGGGTGGGTTCCTAGTCTTTATATCAGAAAATCATACTTTGGATATTACTGCAGTGCTGCTTTAGGAGGCGAGTAGCAATGTTTACAACAGATTTCTCAATGGCTGCATTTTTTATTTTGGTTGGAGTGCCCCTTTAATTAAGTGCTGGGTGTTTTGGAATAGAGAAAATGCAGAAGTGTGCTGAGCATGGGGTCCCAGGACTGACTTTGGGAACGACTGGTCCAGGCCACCAGGCAAAAGTGTCAAAACTTGACACAGTATACATAAAAAATCTGATTTGTTTCCACGTCACTCCTCCCTGTAGTCTATATCAGTCGTTTACGAGGCTCAGTCTGAGCTTAACAGTGCATTCCCACCAAAGGCAAACACACCTGACTGCACTGATCGAGCAATAACTGCAGTAACTAGTGTTTTGAATCATGGAGCACATGATTCAACTTAGTGTCTCATTACCAGTTCAGCTGGCAGAGAAAATACTAAGTGGAGTGAATGGAGTCTGCATAGTTGGGAATCTAAACACAGTACAGATTCAGTTCTGCTGCAGAATCTGTCCGGTTTCTGTGTCAGGGAGAGAGGAGGACTGTTCTCAAGGCAGCTGGGCTGGTTCCCAGCACCACATTAAGCTTAATCCTAGACTAAAAAGGATTTCCAATAGTGATTCAGCATTGGCATCGCAGTTTAGTCCAAGACTAGATTTAATCCTTGTCCGTGAACCGGCCCTCTGAGCTCAGTAATCTTCTGTGACAGTAATGACCTGGCACATCGTTCGCTCCAAAGCTGAGGCTGTTTTTGCTGTCCTGTTTAAATCATCATGTTTTCTTCATGATGAAGAGGTTATACCGATGTATTCGAGCAGTTGAGATATGTGTCCACATTTTGCTTCTGCATTGACATTGACAAGTCTGCATGACTGTAATGAAGAGCTGGATGCGGTTTGAGGGAAATGTTAAGGAAGAGTTTACAGAAAAGATTTAGGTGACCTTTGACTTCTAGTGTTAGCTGAAGTGAAGAAGCACAGTGTAGACCCCAAACACGTCTCAGCTGATTGAAGTGGAAAATCGTGTAAATGATTTTTCACTGAATCATTTATTAAATGGTCATCATTTCATTAGTGAAGCTGCAGCTTGTTTGACTAAAGCACAGTGAGGGCGTTTCAAAAGGAAACTGAGTGAGTTGAATATTGTGGTAAATGTCATTATTACTGAGTATCACAACGTATCTAGCGTGTGTGTGTACAGTAAGATGTGTGTGGGGGTGTATCTGATCTCTGGTGGGGTGTCGGTCACTGCTGACTAACACTGCTGTCATCCTGTTGTGTTGCTGCTATTAGAGAGTAGATGGTGGAGATAAGAGCGCAGCGCTGTCCGCTACACTGACCACTAAACTGACGCACACTCAGATTCAGATACAGACACTTGAGTGTGTGCGCGTGTGTGTGCGCGAGTGTGTGTGCGCGAGTGTGTGCGCGCGAGTGTGTGTGCGAGCCTCAACCTGAATAAAACAAGAAAACATTAAGTTATTAGATTACCTGCAATTTCATGCCTTCTTTTCTTTCCTTCATTCGTTCTTTCTCTCTTTTCATTTCTTTCTTTCTTTTTCTGCTCTATTTCCTTTGTTCTTTTTCTTTCTTTTCTTCTGTCTGCTTTCTTTCTGCTCTCTTCCTTTTTTCTTTCTGCTCTTTTTTCTCTCCTCATCACTTCTTGTTTTTTCTTTCTTTCTTTCTTTCTTTCTTTATCCCTCTTCTCTCACTTCTTTTCATTCCACGTACGCTACTGCCTTATTTTCTTCATTTGTTCTTTTTCTCTTTTCATTTCTTCTTTCTTTCTTTTTTTTCTTTCTTTCTTTCTTTCTTTCTTTCTTTCTTTCTTTCTTTCTTTTTATGCTCTATTCTCTTTCTTTCTGCTTTCTCTTTTCATTCTTTTTCTTTCTTTTTTTCTGTCTTTCTTTCTGCTGTCTTCCTTTTTCCTTTTGGCTATCCTCTCTTTTCTCTTGTCACTTTTTGTCTCCTTTCTTTTCTTTTCTTTCCCTCTTTCTTTATCTCTTCTCTCTCTCACTGTGTCTTTTCATTCTCCTATGTAGGCTACTGCCTTCTTTTTCTCCATTCATTCTTTGTGTCTTTTAATTTCTTTCTTTCTTTCTTTCTTTCTTTCTCCTTCTTTCTGCTTTCTCTTTTCATTCTTTTTCTTTCCTTTCTTCTGTCTTCTGTTCTTTCTTTCTGCTCTCCCTTTTTTTCTTCTGCCTTCTCTTTTTTCTCTGTTCTTGTCACTTCTTGTATCTTCTTTCTTTTTCTTTATCTCTCTCTTCTCTCTCTCATTTCTTCTTTTCATTCTCCTACATAGGCTACTTTGTCTTCTTTCTTTTCTTCTCCTCTAGCTCTCTTTCCAGTCATAACATTGGAGTCATTATCCATCTATTTGCCTGAGAAAAGTTGCATAATGCGCTGTTTTTTTGTCGTGGTGTGATGGTGTAACGCTGATTATCTCCCCCCGCAGAGTTCAGTGCAGGACTGGGGGGAGGAGGTGGAGGAGGGAGCCGTTTACAGCGTCACGCTCAAGAGGGTCCAGATCCAGCAGGCCGCCAACAAAGGAGCGCGATGGCTCGGGGTAAGAGGAAGCCTTCAATCCCTGCTCACTTACACAGTTATTTACAGCAGTAGTCTTACTCTATACTGCAGGAGCAGCACCACAGAGGAACTGAACAACTGTGCTGGGTCACAGTGTAGTTACCATTCTCACATGTACACTGTGGACCTTAAAGAGACGGCTCAGTGATAAAACAACTCAAATTTGATTTTTGGGTGGTTTTATGTACCAAAATCAGTCATAAATCATTTTTATCTGGCCATTTTCTGACCGCTCTTTACTTCTTAGAATTAAACAGGCTGCTTTTGTTACTGTGCCTTTAAGACTGATATCTCAAAATGAATCAAATCGCGTTTATTGTCACCTCACGTTTGTGCACACAGGTGCAAAGTTGAGTGAAAATCTTTGGTGCGTAGCCCACTTGTAGTACTTAAATAGAAGAATACATAAAAATACATAAATATATATATATATATATATATATATATATATATATATATATATATATATATATATATACATTAGATGCTATAAATACACATTAATATACACCAGTATTGCACCATTTCAATGTACAGTTTCGTGTATATATATATGTACAAGATGTACAAGATGTACAAGATGTCAGTCTGTATGTGCAGGTTTAGATTTGCTAGATTAAAGTTACAGTATGATCAGAGTGAGCCTGTTTGAGGTGTGGGTGCAGTATAGATTGTCCATGGAGTTCATCATGATGATGTTGTAAATAAGCTCTGTTCTTATTGGCTGCCCTGTATTGTGTCCTGTTCAAAAAGCAGTCCAGGCTGAAATACTCCATACAGCTTCAGTGTGGGTGGGGCTAAACTGCTGCAGGCTGAATAGATGGATATATGTAGATAATCTGGTTCTGGTGACATCACGAATACAGTACGTTCAAGGCCGTCTGTTTTTTGCAGCATAGTTTATATATGTGTATATATATATATATATATATATATATATATATATATATATATATATATATATATATATATATATATATATATATATATATATATATATATATGCCCTCTGTGGACTGAGAAGAGAACAGTATGTTTTGAAACTTCCAAGCCTAAAATGAGCGTTTAATGAGTTATTTGTTGTGTTATGTAATATTCTGTAGAGCAGTATGGCATCACTCAGCCTTATCAGTTTCACTGCTTGATTATTCCATCCATCAATGTTTTTTCACTACAGTACCCAGCCTGTATATGTCCACTGGAAATCCTCACCAGAGTAATAAAGAAATCCTGACCGCTAGCCTAGCCACTGAACTGCAGGCTAATAAATACAGATGTGAGGTTTGGCTTCTTAGTATTAACGTTAGCTCTCTGGCTTTCTTCTGCTTTTACCAGCACTTGTAATGTTAAAGATAATTTTTAAGTGTATCTCAAGTGTAACATGTATCATCAGAAGAGGGCTTTCCTAGTCTTTAAATCTTGCTGTAGGCACTGTGGCACCACTATAAGGGGCTAAAAGACATGCTTCCAGCAGATTTAGCAATGCTTACATTTTTTATTTTGGCCTGAGTGCATTTCAGTGCAGTACTTGTGATTTAGTAATGTGTAAAACTATTTAAAGAGCCCATTTCATGGAAAACTTTCAGAATAATAGTTTTTGAGCAATGTAATGTAGTATTTTAACATTGTTAAAGTTTCAAAATACACAGCTTGAATATGGAAACTAAGCTGTGGAAACATCTAGTTTTGAATTCATTGTTTTTGTGATGGGCGGCACGGTGACCCAGTGAGTAGCGCTGTCACCTCACAGCGAGTAAGGGGTTTGATTTGGGTTGGGTTCGATTCCCCGGCCGGGTGACTGGAGTCCTTCCTGTGGGGGTGTTGCATGTTCTCCTTGTGTCTGCGTGGGTTTCCTCACACAATCCAAAGACATGCAGTCGGGTGAATTGAAAATACCAAATTGCCTCTGGGTGCGCTGCAAGTAAAATGATCTTAAATCTGGTCGATATATCTAATATTTCCCATTTTGGGATGGTTGTGCATTTATTATAAGATTATCTTGCTCATTTCCAGACACTTTTCACTTGTTTTAGATCATTTTTAAGTAAAATTATTTCACTATAGTGGCACATTTCTTAAAACAAGCACGGTTATCTGCTAATATAATGAGAATTTTACTTAATAAAATCACTTAAAACAGGTAAAAGATGTCTAGAAATAAGGAGATAATAAGAAATAATCTTAAATTAAGCTTAAACAACATCAATAGGAGAAATATTAGGTTTATGTACCTCATTTAAGATATTTAACCATTTTTTGCAGTGTGCGAATGTGTGTGTGTGTATGTATATGTCTGTCTGTCTGCCCTGTGATGGACTGGCGACCTGTCCAGGGTATTTCCTGCCCTCCGCCCAATGAGCGCTGGGATAGGCTCCAGCTCCCCCCGCGAGCGTAGATAAGCAGCTTAAAAAATGTATGTGTGCGTGTGTGTGCGCGTGTGCATTTGTGCGTGTGTGTGTGTTCGTAATGTCACACATTTCCATATATCTGCCTATTTGGCGTACAGCAGTGTAGCCCCACCCATTCACGCTGAAGTTATGGTGAGTATTTCACCCCAGACTGCTGTTTGAATGTATTGATGAATAAAGGGCAGCCAAGCACAACAGAGCTCATTTGCATATATCAGTCCTAAAGGCAGAGTAAGAAAAACAGCCTGTTGAATTCTAAGGGCTGAAGAGACGTTGCAAAATGATAAACATTAATTATGAGAGTGTTTATAGAGCAGAAACTCGCACAGTCTTCAAAAGAATGCTCCTAAAACATTCAGAGAAACCTCAAATTGTATATCAAGAACATAAAGCAGTTATTACTCCAGTAAGCACTTACACAGTAGCCTTTCAACTGTCATTGCTGGTTCTTATGTATTTACATGAATCGTTGTTCCTCATAAACATCACGCTTTCATGTGCATGTGCACGAGGATTAGTCATAGCTTGAGTATCTAAACCTGGGTTATCAGGGAAAGTTGTTAACCGCCCTTGTGAAACGAGCAACCTGCTGTATCTGTAAGCTGAACGATGCCTGGGTTTAATTCAGCATCATAGGCGATGTGAGTGCTGCTAGAGGAACTATGAATTTTAGATTTTAGCCTCTAATCAGCCCATATAAGAGTTCAGGAGTCAGCAATGTTTGTAAGAGTTAATTACTAAAACTCATGATTTGTGTTAATTTAAGGCCCAATGTCATTTCAGCCCTCACTCCTACCACTTAGGCCTGACCCCTCCGTTTTGCATGTTAACGTCTAGGTGTAGGGAGTCACAGTTTTTGTTGAGATAGAGAGAGAGGGTTAGGGCGAAGTGTTATGGCTCTCTGGCCCTCCAAACGGAGGTTTTTCAGAGGCACAAGCATTTAAAAATTGCTAGTAGTGCTGATGTCTCGGTTGCTAGCTAGTTAAATTTCCCTTTCCACCTTAAATGGTGCAGCAGTTACATTCTGGCACTTTGCACTTGTTTTAAGTAATTTTATTAAGTAAAATTCTCTCACTGTACTGGCAGAGAGTTTTACTGGTTTCAAGCACATTTCTTAAAACAAGCACAATGATCTGCCACTGTAGTGAGAGAATTTTACTGAGTAAAATCACTTAAAACAAGTGAAAAATGTCTAGAAATAAGTGAAATAATATTAAATTAAGCTTCCAACAATTTCAACTGGAGAAATATTAGATTGTGTTAATCTAAGGCCCAATCCCATTTCACCCCTCGTCCCTACCACTTAGCCCTGACCCCTTCATTTTGCACGTTCACATCTAGGGGTAGGGTGTCCCGATTCTTGTTGAGATAGAGGGGCAGGGCGAAGTGTTAGGGCTACATGGCCTTCCAACCGGAGGGTTTTCAAAGGCACAAGCATAAAAAATCATTAGTAGTAGTGCTGAAGTCTCGGTAGCTAGCTAGTAAATTTCCCGTTCCACCTTAAATGGTGCAGCAGTTGCATTCTGGCTACAGAGCAGCGCTAGTAGCCTGTTAATGAAGTAATGTTCTTCTTTATTTGAGGGTCCCATTTTTTTTTAGGGAAGATTTCAGCGACTACCTCTTGTAACTCAGGTCCAAAGGGGCAAGATGACACTCGAAAACAAGGGGTAGGGGTAAAAATAAGAAATGGGACTGGGCCGTAGAGTAGCTCAGCATTTCTGTTGTAAGGCTCGATGTACACTAGTGTGCGTCTGTTGTTTTAACCTTAGCCAACACCCCTCTGAAACAACACGAGAACATAATGAACCTGCTTTATAGCCTGCATGAATCTTTCACTCATTATTATGAGAGATATCATAAAAGCTGAGATAATACATGAAAATAGAACAAAATAAGTTAAAAATAAACCAGTCCAGGCCACAACGCTTACTGTCTGACCAGGTTCGACTGAGTGCAGTGCTATAGTTTAATCCTGCAGTTATTTTTGTAGTTATTGTTTGTGTGAACTCATTTCTCAGCTAATGAAATGTTTTTGCAAGGTCTGTTGGCTCACAGCTGCGTTCGGCTGTGCATGTATGCATGTTTGAGAGACAGAAACGGAGGGTGGAGAAAAGGCTGCTCTGATTAGAAGCAGATTGGAGTGTTTCCTGTTGTAGCGTGCCAGCAGCGCCAAGGCTTTTCTCCTTCTCCTTTCTCTTTGTCAGTTCTGAGCTTGCGCACATCGCAGCAGACGTGAACGTGCTGCTTCATGGAGGCTCATTTTAAAAAACAAACAAACAAAAACAAAGATGAACAGTGTAAACACTGAAATTTTAAAATGCACCCTTCATATGTGGAAACTAAACTGCTAAAACAGCCCATTTTGATTTTGCATGGACAGATTTCCATTTGACCGCCCCGACCAGCATGTACCAATTTAGCTTTTTAAAATAGACTTTATTAAAGATTACAAATACCCTTTAAAAGTGATTCTCTCTCTCTCTCTCTCTCTCTCTCTCTCTCTCTCTCTCTCTCTCTCTCTCTCTCTCCTTCTCTCTCTCTCTCTAGGCGGAGGGTGACCGCTTGCCCCCAGGTCATACGGTCAGTCAGTTAGAGACTTGTAAAATCCGGAGTATCCGTGCAGGAACACTGGAGCGGCTTGTGGAGACGCTGCTGACGGCGTTCGGAGATAATGACCTCACCTACACCAGCATCTTCCTGTCCACATACAGGGCTTTTGCCAGCACCCAGAGCGTCCTGCAGCTGCTGCTGGACAAGTGAGTGTGTGTTTGTGTGTGTTTACTATGAAACACTGCGCATGTTTCAGTTCCAAAGCAGAGTTTAGAATCGCTGGTTAAAATGTGTTCAGAGTGATTAACAGAGCTGTGGATGATTCTAAAACCAGAATCTGAGAATCGAGGGATGGAGTTATAACAGAATTACTTTCATTGAATCATTTTACTTAATTTACAACTTTGTGTTGTTCCCAAAATATTTGAAATATTGAACAAACGCCTAAAATATCTAAAATAGTCCAGTATATCACTGCTGTCAGAACAAAACCTTGTATCCCCATTTTTGTTGTTTGTCAGTTTTTGGCATAATTTGAAAATGCATGTTGCCCTTTATATTGTTTGTCAATTTCATGATGGATGGACCAAAAGAAACTGTTTAAAATTACTTGGAAAAAAGTCTGGTTCCACTGATTTACATTAAAAGTTAAGTGTGTGTGTGTGTGTGTGTGTGTGTATGTGTGTGTGTGTGTGTGTGTGTGTGTGTGGGTGGGTGTGTGTATGTATATATATATATATATATATGTGTGTGTGTGTATAATATTCAAAGTGAGACTATTAGAGCTAGGCAAGCCAAGACTCCATCAAAAATGAGGATCCAGTAGCTTCTTCAGTAATGCTAATTTCTACTAGCACCCTTAAGGGATTTTAATAGTATGCTAGCGGTAAGCTAATGCCATTTAACATGAATATCTTTTTGGTTATTTTTTGGCATAATTTGAAAATGCCTGTTGCTCTTTACATTGTGTGTGAATTCCATGATGAATGGACCAAAAGAAATGGTTTAAAGTTACTTGGAAAAAAGTCTGGTTCCATTGACTCTCATTAAAAGATTCAGTAACTTCTTCAGTAATGCTAATTTCTACTAGCGCCCTTAAGGGATTCTAGTAGTATGTTAGCTCTACGCTAACAGCGTTTAACATGAATATTTTTTGCCCGTTTCCGATTAAATAGAGACCATTGAAGCTTGTAAAAAACTTTCCATATATTTTATTTAAAACGGTAACAGACACATTAGCACATATTTTACCTTGTAGAAACCAAAAAAACTGAAAACTAAATGAAACCTGGTTAGGCTACGGCTCATCTTTACAGTCAGTGGCACATCTAGAACTCTCAGAAGGCCCAGAGTGACGATTTCTCATACATTTGGTTCCTGATTTGATGATCTTACATTACATCTTTAACCCTTTTAACAGTGAAATATAGGTGTTGTCCTACAGTACTAAATACCTAAATACAAGCGTCATGATTATATTTAGGAAAAATGAACTAAAAATTCAGACACATATTTTACAGAAAATAAGATTCTCTGAAGGCCTAGAGAGCCCAGAGGGTTCACCACTGCTTGTATAAGCTATTACTGTATACGGGAAAGTGAAACATTTATATTCATAATAAAGTGAGAAGTGATCACAGAGTTTTGAGCAGAACTATGTGTGCAGATAATAGAGTGCTACCTAATTCAGACTAAACAAAGCCAGGGCATTAAATGCAGTGGAACCCAGATTTTGTACATAAAAGCCAGGCTTTTGTTCTAATAAAACAGTAACACCCTCAATACGACATACAACATACTAGTGCTTTATAATGCTGGAGACGGGACTTGTTTTCTCTGCTCTAACACAGCTGATTCAGCTCTTAACACTCTCTTGTACCACACTGAAATCTAGGATTATTAAAATATATTCAGCAAGCAAACAAGGGGAATATTCTGCAATTGTCCAGTCAGTCACCTGACCCCAAACAAATCAAGCCTGCGTTTCACTTGCTGAGTGCAAAACTGAAGGTAAAACACAACAAGAGCAAGCAGGAACTGAAGACAGCTACAGTAAAGGCCTGGGAAAGGTCACGGAAGAAGCCCAGTGTCTGGTGATGTCTGTGGGTTTCAGGCTTTAGGCGATCATTGACTGCATAGGATTTGCAACCAAGTATTGAAAATGGTTGTAATTGCACAGTAAGCTTATTTATTTATTCATTTTAATTTACACTCCAATAAGCTGTGGTAGACAGCTAAAATAACATTTGTGAACGTCTACATATTTCTGGACCTGAGTGTACATTGCTGATTTATGGTGTAGGACTTTAGCAGGACAGTTAAATATACTATATTTAGGCTGATTAGGTTCAGATGCAGGCTGTTTTATGTTTCATGGTAATGAATTACAGTGACACCTTACTGCTCGTGGTTTATGAATCATGCAGCATCTCATTTCGTACTGTAGATTGTTCTGCTGAAGTCCACTGTGCGCTGTACGAGGCTTTATGCTGTGTCTTGAAAGGAGATGCTTCAGACTGATGCACTGAGGTGTGTCTGTGTTCTGACAGGTACGGGAACATGGAGGACTGTAACGGGGAAAGCGATCAGCACCACTCTGGAGAAAGCAGAGGAGCCGTGAGAAAGTGAGCGATGTTTGATTCTGCTCTACACCCAACACACTATAGCAGATTTACTACTGAATTCACTGCAGTAAATCCGCTATATTCATTTTATTGTACTCACTGCGGTAACTGTGCTATTTTTGTGGCCTGTCTGCCTGTCTGTCTGCCCACCCGTCTGCCTGCCTGCCTGCCTGCCTGCCTGTCTGTCTGTCTGTCTGCCTTTCTGCCTGTCTCCCTGCCTGCTTGCCTATCTGTTTGCCCAACTGCCTGTTTGCTTGTCTGCCTGTCTGCCCGCCTGTCTGTCTGTCTGTCTGCCTTTCTGCCTGTCTCCCTGCCTGCTTGCCTATCTGTTTGCCCAACTGCCTGTTTGCTTGTCTGCCTGTCTGCCCGACTGCCTGTTTACCTGTCTGCCTGCCTCCTTGCCTGTCTGTTTGCCCGACTGCCTGTTTGCTTGTCTGCCTGCCTGCCTTTCTTCCTATCTGTCTGTCTGTCTGTCTGCCTGCCCGCCTGCTTGCCTGTCTGTTTGCCCGTCTGTTTGCCCGACTGCCTGTTTACCTGCCTGTCCATCTGCCTGCCTGCCTGCCTACTTGCCTGTCTGTTTGCCCGACTGCCTGCTTGCTTGTCTGCCTGCCTGCCTTTCTTCCTATCTGTCTGTCTGCCTGCCTGCCTGCCCGCCTGTTAGTAATAGTCGATAGTAATTCCTCTGTACACTGCAGTAATTTAGTGTTTCTCTCTACTATGACTAATTTAACAGTGTTTTTATTGTACTATTGTAAATAATCCCATTATGAGCGCTTTAATAACTGTACTGTACTGTGTGATATCTTTCTTTTGTGATATCTTGTAGTTATTCTACTACATTCATTGCAGTATTTCTCCTCCACTCTCTGCAGCAATGGCTCTGTCCCCTGCAGTAATTACACAGTAGTCCCTGTGCTCTCTCTAAATCGAGTTCCTAAGTTGATGTTTGAGAGTTGACTGCGTTCCATGGAAGCACTCAAAAATGCTGCGACAACATTTTTTATTTAACTGAACGATTTAGGGGAAATGGAGGAAGTTATGAGTAACGCTGTGTGGCTACTGTATGAATCACGGACGACTCACTTATTCATAGCATCGTTCATTCAGAGAGAAATTGTGAAAGTAAAAATATTTCACAAATACTTCAAATCTAGCCACAGTCATGTGCAAAATTTGGGCACCCCTGGTCAGATGACAGGTTTTGTTGATTTTGTTGTAAATAAGTGAACACATCCTCTACAGAGACACAATCCTGCACACTTTAATGCACAGTTACTGTTTATTTGCTGAATTGGACATATTTGCTGAATTAGTGTTTATTTTATGAGGGAAAATATTTAAATTGCGGCATTTATAAATGGCACATTTTAATATATCATGTATTATTTTTTTATATATATTATTTTCATTAAATGAATAGACATTGTGCTGTAAAATTTGCATGAAACTGCCATATTTTAGTTTAAGTTCTGAAGTTGTATTAACTTATTTTCGCTTAGAAAATCAACAAAGCATGCCGTTTGACTGGGGGTGCTCAAACTTTTGCACACAGTTTTGTCTGTCTGTCATTTTTATTATTTTCACTATATCTTCAAACACACCAGAAACACCACAGGGTACCATACTGTTAACGTATGTTATTGTTCTTGTTCTTTCAGCATTTACATTAATTCCTTATTTTTCTCTCTCTTTCTCTACGACCTCCCTGCCACCCCCCCATCCCTCCTGCCCCAGTGCGTTAGCGTCCATCCTGCGAGCGTGGCTGGATCAGTGTCCAGAGGATTTCCAGGAGCCGCCGTCGTACCCCAGTCTGAACAGGGTGTTGGGCTTCCTGCAGAAGGCCATGCCCAGCTCAGAGCCCACGCGCCGGGCACAGAGCCTGCTGGAGCAGCTGCAGAGCCACGCTGGCCTGGAGAGCGACACAGAGGGTCAGTCTGTCTCCTGTCTGTCCACATGTCCTGTCCACTAACCTACTGCACATCCATGCATCTGTTAGCCCAGTGCTTCTCAGTTCTGGTCTTAGTGTCAGGAGCAGACCTTAGGCCTGCCAATCGCCAAGAGCCCCATAAGAATCCAAAACAGAAGGCAGAAAAACAGTTATTTCTTCCTTTTAATCTCCTTTAATAACTTTTGATGATATATATTTTGATGATTTTACAGTGCTCTTGTTATATTTATTTTGAACAGGCAAAAATGTATAGAGTCAGAAATTTACCATTGAGAGCAAATAAATGAGCAAATCAGTTTCACACATCTGTCATCTTTATTTACTTTGATTAACCAAATCAATAAGAAGCGTTTCCATAGTGATGTGAGTTGCTTTCTGATTGTGTGCACATGCATGCGGAGAAAATAGCACAGTGCATCCAGCAATCAGGGCAAAATGGAGCTTCTTTTATGCAGTGATAGGAAACACATTAGCACCTGAAACATGGGGTCAGCAGCCCAAATGTTAAGGAGAGCCATTTTGTCATTTCAACAAAAATCAAACCACTTTGGGAGCCACAATATTTTATGTCCATTTTACCATCGTGGCTGTAAATATGTCTCAGTGTGTGTCAATGTACTAATAGGCTTAAAATAATGCAGACTTGCTGTGCTCTGCTTTAAGCTTTAGCTCAGCTATAGCTGCTTTTCTCACATCTCTGGCAGGAAACTTTCCTCAAAAGTTGAACGGTTTCTTGTAAAATGTCTCTCAACAGACTTTTTACGAGGCTGAAGTCGCTTCTCATTCTCCAGCTTCTTGTTCGAATGTTTCCTGTTACACCTTAAATGGCGCCCGAGGCGCCAGAATGTAACTTCTGCACCATTTGAGGTGGAATGGAACAGTTCAAACGAGAAGCTGGCAAAGCAGAAACTGACTTCAGCTTCGTGACTTTTTAGTGTTTGTCAGTTTCTCGTTGCAGATTAAACGTATCAGGAAACCAGCTGGAGTGATTATAAACACAAATAAGTCCATTCGTCTCCAAATTATCGACGTTCGTCTTAAATCTTTCTCTTTGCCGTTTTGTTAGCTACTAGCTAGGCGAGACTGTTGCTATGGTGACCAGCAGTCTGCACGCCAGTCTTCAGGGTTAAAGGCTGAATTAGCAGTTCTACATTAACTCCAGGATTTAAGACCGTTTATTATTAAACTGTGTTGAACGATCAGCAGAGCTTTATTTTACTGTAAAGGAGGATTATTTTATTTTTACGTACTAATCTGATTCTGCTGTGGAGCCACAACAGGGCAGGAAAAGAGCCGCATGTTACCGACCCCTGATCTGGAAGCTCCAATTCCACATGTTGGTCCATTTCACTGTGACCAAAGTGGACACATAACAACTAATGAATTAAAGGGCATTATTTAATGAATTAAAGGGCATTATTTAATGAATTAAAGGGCATTATTTAATGAATTAAAGGGCATTATTTAATGAATTAAAGGGCATTATTGAGCCTAGGGATGTACAACCAGTGCTTACTTGTTTCCTCACTTTCTCTGCCTGTCTTTCTCTGCCTTAATTCATCTGTTTGTTTATTTCATGTTTATGCTCCCTCTGTATACATCCATCTGTCCATCCATGTGTCCACACCCTTCAATGTAAACAAACTTTTCCTGCTCTTCTCATATCTGTTCTCACCCCCCCTACTTCCCCATCCACAGGAGGTTTCCATGGTAACAGCCCCTTCTGCCTGGGAGAGGATGAGGAGGTGGAGATCGAGGTGCAGGAGGACTTCTTGTCCTTCAGCGCCGACCTGGTGGCGGAACAGCTCACCTACATGGACGCGGTGAGCGGTCCTGTCCTCTGCATACACATAAAATAATGGCATCACAGAAAAGGGTGGACTTTTACCGTCACTGAAATCTGAATTAATATACAGTATATACTTATAAAACGTACACATTGTTGGGTGAAATTTATGGATAGATATTTTTTCCTTCATTTGTTTTAATTTCCAGGCAAAAGACAGAAAACCAGAAATTCAGCATCAGAAGAAGCATTAATTTAACTGAGTATGGACTTATTAATATAATGTAGACTTGCTTTCGCACCTTCAAAGTTCAGTCTTGGAAGTTGGTTTTGCATTTTCTGCTTCTCACAATTCGAGTTATCCCAAACACATTCAATGACGTTGAGGACTGGACTCGGGGATGGTCAGTCCATTGATCTAAGAACATCAGCAGCTTGTTTGTTTGAATAGCAATTTTTATGAATATCTTATACTTAACAGCTGTTTTGACTGGAAATTAAACAAATAAAGTGTGGTCTGTGACTTTTGCACTGTGTGTGTGTGTGTGTGTGTGTGTGTGTGTATACGTGTATATATATATATATATATATATATATATATATATATATATATATATATATATATATATATATATATATATATATATATATAAAATCAGTTTTTGACATAATTTGAAAATACCTGTTGCTCTTTACATTGTGTGTAAATTTCACAATGAATGGACTAAAATAAACGGCCCAAAATGACTTGGAAAAAACTCTGGTTCCATTGACTTACATTAAAAGTAGAGTATGTTTTTTCCTGCTCCTGTAAAGTTACCATGTTGGAGATACTACATATATATATTTATAACGTTAGACTTGACTAATATTGTCCTTGTCCTGTGTGTGTGTTTCAGCTGCTGTTTAAGAAGGTGGTCCCCCACCACTGTTTGGGCTCCGTATGGTCCCAGCGGGACAAAAAGGAGAACAAGCAGGCCGCGCCCACCGTCCGCGCCACCATAACCCAGTTTAATGCCGTGGCTGGCTGCGTGGTCAGCACTGTCCTCCGCCAGCGTCACCTACGGCCACACCTGCGCGCACGCGTCATCCAGCGCTGGATTGACGTGGCACAGGTGTGCACTCACACACCCTATTTATAGCTCACCTCTGTGTTGCACTCAGTGTCTTTAAATAGAAATCTTGCTTTTAAGCAGTCATTTTTGGTAACTGGGTCAGAATGAAGTTCTGCAGTTGCAAAAGGAGAGTCATACGTCATTTCTAAAGTTTTTGCGCGAGGTGCTCTATGTGAAGAGTTTTTATTAGCATCAGAATTGCAAGAGCATGTCGTAGAAGCGTTGTGTTAAGTGTGAAGGTGAGGATGTACATCACTGTACAAATGTTCGGAATCACTGCTCACAAGTTTAAATCCCTGTTTTCAATAATATAAAACCAGGTTTGTTGCAGATACACTTATAAAATGATTCTAATATGAAGCTGTTATTATGTAGATTTTAAACAATTCTTAGTAAACTGAAAAACTTAAGAAATTGATGAACATAGATGATTCTATGGTTGGGAGAGCTGCATAGCACCGAGAATGAACTTCCAAAATATCACATATTAGAAAAGCAGTGGGAGCACCTCACTCATTACATAGCTATTTACAGCTAGCTATGTAATGTTATGACAAGAAGTTATTATTGTTATTAGATCATTACAGTATTTCTTACTTAGTATTTGCCATTGTTTACCAACACACTTATTGTGAATAAACCATCAGTTTTCGGTTTGGTGGACAAAAGTGAACCTGCATTCATCTGCACTGTTAAATCTCAGATGTTGCTGGTTGCTTATCTTACTTTGTCTTCTCCATCAATCAGCATTGTTAGCTGTTAGCTTCATCACATATTCATGTCCATCATATAGAACATCGTACTGCTGCCCTTTTTATTAATGTGTCATAAGTGATTATTGATACATTTTAAGATGTTTATAACCCTTACTAATAAACAAGTTTAAACCATTTATAAACCCTTTATAAGAGTAGTCTTATTGTAAAGTGTTACCCCATTTTAATATGACCACCAAACTCCAAACTTTTGAACGATAGAGTAGCACACCCAGCTGACACGATGCTTCATTCATAATCAATAACACATTAGTTATTCTTATCCAAATGCAGTCATGCTAGCGGCTCCCCAGCTCATTTCTTCTCATTCTTAGCCTTGTTTACATTTTTGGGTGAAGTATTTTTTTTCACACAAAGTTAGTTTGCATAACTTTGTCCAAGTGTCCAAATACAATCCGACTGTGTGGTCTGCACTTGCCAGTAATCATTGTTAGCCATGTTAGCACTCTTGCACTCTTAATAATTGACTGAAACTCATGTGAAGATCAGATATACAGAAATAATCATGCTGGCTGGTTCCCATCATATCTCACTCATTTTTAGCCAGATTAACATTTTGGGGTTCAGTATGTCTTTAAGGTGTGATTGAATCTTCTGCATGAAGCTGTTCCTTCTGCAGCTACGCCGCCCTTACCAAGAGTTCCAGCTGTCACTGTTAGCAATCTTAGCATTTTTAGGTGAAGTGTTTCTTTTTGAGTCGAGCTGTTTGTCGTTTACTAAAAGCGAAGCTTTGTTTTGTCTTCTCAGGAGTGCAGAATCCGTAAGAACTTCTCCTCTCTCAAAGCCATCGTCTCTGCCTTGCAGTCCAACCCCATCTACAGGCTGAAGAGAGCCTGGGCCTGTGTACACAAGTGAGTCTCCATCCCGCCCACCAGGGCTGCGTTCCAGTCTGAAATATTAAAAGCACTTCCTCACAGCTACTTCCCCCTTGGGATTGTCCATTTTGTGGCGAGTGCACTGTTTATTCTTAAACACTGCAGCGTCTTCAAATTCAAACTAATTGTAGCTGATTCATCTGTGTAATTCTGGAGCTCTAGCTTAAAAGTAGTGCTTCCAAAAGGAACCAAAAGGGGTTCTTTTGGAGCAAAGCCATGAAAGAATAGCTATTGTTGCCTTAAAAAACCTCTCAGTGGTCGATTCTTTAAAGAATCTTGTTTGTTAATGAGCCGCAAACGTGAGGAACCTTTTCAAAGTTTAATGTAAACGCAGCGTACTTAAGCTTTCCGATAGGGAATGCAATCAGATACAGGCGTTTACACGGATATTATTCTTCTATTTAATGGATTATTATTATTTATTATTATTTATTATTTACAGGATTACCCACCTCGTTCAATCGGATAGAAATTGCATTCCGAATGCGCTCATTCGGACTAGTCTATTCCAAATTGGGCGTATTCTATTCCGATTGAGCTTTTAGTCAGATTATTAACAGATTATTAGGCTGCATGTAAACATGGCTATTTAAAAATAATAAATACATTCTGAAACTTAATTTGTCCACCCTATATATATATATACTATAACAAAATACACTGCATATAAATGTAATTAATCAGAATTAACTACACAAAACAATGTGAATATTTGCAATTGTTTTAATTTTTCAGAATTAGTATTCATATTTGTGTGACCCCCCATCGTCCTCCCAACTCTGCCTCTAATTTCTTTTGCCACGTTCTCCTTTGCAGAGACAGCATGCAAATGTTTGAGGAGCTCTCAGACATTTTCTCTGACCACAACAATTACCTGACCAGCCGAGAGCTGCTGATGAGGGTGAGTGTTTTCACATTGCTAAAGGCTTTATCTTCTAGTTGGAGTCTGTACATTTTCCAGAACGGTTTGTGTTGGGTAACTGTTTAAGCAGTAGCAGATATTAATAACTACCTCTTTAATCATTAACTACTCTTCATCTGTACAGGAGGGTACGTCAAAGTTTGCCAGTCTGGAGAACTGTGCCAAAGAGCACCAGAAACGCTCCCAGAAGAGACTGCAGCTGCAGAAAGAGGCGGTGAGTCAGAGAAGTGTGAGCATTTGCTGCAGGTCTGGATAGACTTTTGGTTTTAAACTGGAGTGACTGTGCTGTACTCGTGTGTGGATGAAATAAAATGTAAGACAGGCAAAAAAAGGAGAAGGTCTGGCTGCAGACCTGCACTCTCAGCCTGACATGCACTGCCAGCCTACTGATGACGTCAGTGCTGTTCTGCCACGACAGTGTTTTTGTCAGTTTTGTGTGGAAAAACAGTGAAACACGAACTGCTGGGCAACAAGAGTTACACTGACCATATATTAAGGTTGTCATACTGATAATAAGGTAATTAAATATGGAAACAAAATAAAACCTACCATGATGATAAAAAAATGAATGTTGGGTTTATTAGCAGAAAAAAAAACAAGCTCCTGAAAACCATACTTAAGACGATTAGAGCCATTAGGAATAAAATCTGATGGTTTTGCTTCCTAATGGGAATGGGCTTGATGGTTGCCGTTAGAGACCATTAGGAAACGAACAAATGTATCTGGAATCAGTCCCAGAAGGCCTGATTAAATGATTTGAATCATTTACACTGTAATATCAACGCATCAGAGCACAGCATACTAGTGACTACTGAAAAGCACCAGGAACCAACAGACACTTTCTGTTCTATGACTTTTTTTAACAGGGAGGTACATTAAATGTAACTCTCCCGCTGTGCTATTGATGAAAAATGGATTAAGTGATGTCGCTAAGCAGAAGCAGCCAAATGTTACTGTGCCATTGGGCGGCTTCTGCCATTGTGGCAGAGAGTGCATGTGCACGTGACGTCACTGGGGCTGAGAGTGCGTCTGTCTGAGAGTGCAGGTTTGCAGCCAGACTCTATTTTAAAAAAGAAGCACTTTTTCAGCACATATTTATGCCCATGTTCACACTTAGCATTAGCATATTTCTTGGGTGGTCCGATCTTTGAGCTGTGAACAAGGTCCAGTGCGTCTCAGAGATGCACTGTTATCTGATCTCTCAAACCACATTTGGGGGTGCAGAACATTTGTAGTGTGAGCACTAAACTGCCTTGACAGCAGCGAAGGACCACCTAATCAACTAGGTCATCACAGCAGAGACCAAAGCAGCTGTATAGTCTTTTTTTTGTCTCTTTTCCTGTTTGTTTGTCAGTTACCTTAGCAGTCCATGTGACCTACATGCTTGTACCAGCTCGTACATGCACACAAACAAGGACTTGCAGCACATTTTTGTCTGACAACAAACAAACAGACCACTGGAGACCCATAGAAATGGCAGGTGTAAACAACTGCGTCTCACTGTGGACTTAGGACCAGATCACTCAAGACAGAAGTTAATACCCGGTATGAAAGGGCCTCAGAGTACAGCGAACGATTTCAAAACAGGTTCCTTCTGTGAAAGACAGTGGAATTTATTACGCTGGGTCGAATTATTTGACAAATTCAGTTCATTTTTTCATACAGAATTTCAGGACAGAACAGCTGATCTAGGATCAAGTCATGTTGACCATATTTAGTCACATAAAAGATGTCCTAGGGTCATAGAACCAAACAGTGCTCCTGCTGGGGGGGTTTATTAATGCCAGCCTGGATCTGGCCATTAGTAATGTGCCTCTTTGTGTGCTTCTTCTAGGGCGCCATGCAGGGGACGATTCCCTACCTTGGCACATTTCTGACTGACCTGACAATGCTGGACACGGCACTGCCTGACCTGGTGGAGGTAAGACGTAGGTAGAGTGATAGACCATAGGGCCACAGTGATATGTATGTGTGTGTGTGTGTGTGTGTGTGTGTGTGAGTGTGTGTGAGTGTGTGTGTGTGAGTGTACGTTACATGTTTTGTTAGTTTTCTAAGTGAACATATGTTAATGTGTGGAATAAGCTGTAAATATTAGTGCATAATTTCTGTTTATTTGCTGAACATATTGGGTAAAAAATAATAAAATGGCACATTTTATTATTATAAGTAGATTTTTTCCATCTCCTGTAAAGTTATCATATTGGAGATACAAGGTTTTTTTTTTCCCGACAGCAGTGATATGACCATGTGACCATTGAGAACTGACAGAAAAGCACTGCATTACTAAAACTATTTAATTTTTTTCCCATCTAAACTTTTATTGGCCGATATCTGTTGTCCAAATTTTTAGCTTATTAAAGTCAGTACCTGTGACTGCTTCCACATCAGTGAAGCTGATAGAGATACAGAGAGAGAAGAGAAGAGAGAAGTGTTCTGGCCTTATAATTCAGATGTGCTGCTGGGTCACAGCAGTTTGAAGGCATTTGAGACGTTTGATCGTGACTGGATCTCGTTCTGCCTTTCACAGGGTGGTCTTATCAACTTTGAGAAGAGGAGGAGGGTGAGTGCTTTTCTTTATCCTGTCCAGCTTGAACAGTGACCTTTAAGTAGATATCACGACGGACTTCATCATCTCATCATCTCATCATCTCTCTCTCTCTCTCTCTCTCTCTCTCTCTCTCTCTCTCTCTCTCTCTCTCTCTCTCTCTCTCTGTGCAGGAGTTTGAGGTGATCGCGCAGATCAAGCTCTTGCAGTCTGCCTGCAACAGTTACTGCCTCAACCCTGACCCAGCTTTCCTGCGCTGGTTTAAGAACCAACCCCAACACACCGAGGAAGAGAGGTACATGCCTTAACTCTTTCTCTCCTCCCATTCATCTGAAGTATAATTCATAATCTATATTAACTGTTTATCAGCAACATACAGTTATATTCTGGTTTGCTGTGGTGACTTCAGGGTTCTTCCCTTATGGTTCTGGAGGGCTGGTTGTCCTGCACGGTTTGGTGATCTCCCAGCACAAACTCACCTGGTCCAACTTATCTGTTACTTGCCAGGGTTAATAGGAATGTTTGAGCAGAGAAATCACTGAACTCTGCTGGACACCGGCCCTCCAGGACCAGAACTGAAGAACCCTGATCTAGTGGATCTGGTTATGTCAGTGTTTTCTCTGCCAGTCATTGGAAGTTTGAATTACTGGACAGTTTAGTGTTTTCCCTCCATCACCAAGAAGGGCCTGGGTTTGATTCCCAGCCAGGCGACTAGGGTCCTGTCTGTGTGGAGTTTGCATGATCTCCCTGTGTCCATGTGGGTTTCCTCCCACAGTCCAAAGACATGCAGTCAGGCCACTTGGAGATGCTAAATTGCCCCTAAGTTTGAATGAGTGTTTGTGTGAATGTGTGTCTGTGCGTGTGCCCTGTGATCGACTGGCGACTGTCCAGCTCCCCCCACTACCCAAAATAATAAGTGGCTTAGAAAATGTGTGTGTGTGCATGAATTAGGTATAATTGTGCAGGGGAACTAAACCATGCTGGACTGCTAATTAAGATCCTGGGACTAAAGAGGGGGACGTGGTTTCTACACTAGCAGCTTTACTCTGAGACTTTCTGGTTTCTAGTGTAATGCATATAGTTAAAAATGTGTGGTTAAAGATACAGTGAAAATAATCAGTCAGACAAAAGTCTGATGAGGTGTTTTGTTGATTTGCTAAGTTAACACATCCTCTACAGAGAACACACTTAAATATGGGATTTTTTCCGTAAGTTTTAGTCTGCAATTTGTAGCAATTTGCCGAGTTTATCATGCCATCATGTTATCATGTGCCACTTTTGCACAGGCCACATTTTTATGTTTTTTTTCCAATATATTAAACTCAGCAAAAAAACTAATTGTGCATCAAAGTGTGCAGAAATGTGTTCCGTCTAGATGTGTTAACTTAGTAAATCAACAAAATGTCATTTGGCCGCCCAAACTTTTGCTTTATCTTTACACTTTCCATCAACACGTATGAATCCCAATGTTTTAATGTTAATGTTAAGTGACCCTTATTAGTCCCACAGTGGGGAAATTTCACATCCGCATTTAACGCATCCGTGCAGTGAAACACCACATACACACTAGTGAACACACACACTAGGGGGCAGTGAGCACACTTGCCCGGAGCGGTGGGCAGCCATATCAGCAGTGCCTGGGGAGCAGTTGGGGGGGTTGGGTGCCTTGCTCAAGGGCACTTCAGTCACGTACTGTCGGCGCAGGGGATCGATACGGCGACCTTCCGGTCACAGGGCTGGTTCCCTAACCTCCAGCCCTTGACTGCCCCCATAATACTTTTAGACAAAGCCTTTGTTGCATTTGCAGCCACCACCGTTTCTCCAGCTTTGCCGTCCATACTTGGTGTAATATGTGTTCTTTTTAAACCATTTGATGTCACGCCTCATGGCATGGCCTGCTCCTGGGCTGGCGTGCTCATGGACAGAGAGGTCTTTGCAAACGCTGTTTATAAGGATGAGGGCATTTTTTTAAAAATGTTTTCCAAAATATCTGGAAAGCCTTGAACTGACCGTGATCTCCTGTGTTGTAGCTATGCTCTGTCCTGTGAGATCGAAGGCCTGGGAGACAGCAGTCCCACATCACCCAAATCTCGCACCAGCATGGTGAAGAGACTGAGTCTGTGAGTATGCTAAGCCTTTCTATTACTCTAACATTACTCAAACAGACGGCAGTAGTCCAAGGGTCTCGAAGACCCTCAGCTAGTCCACATTCTTATTCTGTTCCAACTGGGGGTGTAAACCTCTAACCTCATGACAGGAATTGTTAATTTTTTGATGGTTTACTTTAGTGCATCGTGATATCTTATTCACCGCAATCCAGTTTGAGAATTTTTTGTATGATTCAGAATTATTAAAAAGCACTGAGTGCAGAAATATGACCGGAGGGGCTGTTAACAATGGAATATAGAAAATAAAAACAGCATGCCAAACATTTTGGGGATTTTTACATCTGAATATAGCCGAGAATTTTATCTTTACCAAATAATAGCTGCTCTTTTTATTGAATATTATTTTAATTGATTATAATGTAGTGCGATGCAGTTCGATGCAGTTGAATGAACATCTTCAAACCATTGCATCACCATGCATCCTTGCATTTTTACACCCATAACTCCAGTTTTTAGCACCCGAAGCAGGTAATCAGGTAGACCTCTGGTTTCCTTGCTCAGGTATGTGAGGAACTGGAGTAGAACAAAAATGTGAACTTCCTGAGACTGAAGAACTTAGCAAGGGGCGAGATCTTCTAGAACTCTAGACTGGAGGGCCATTGCACTGGACGGTTCAGTGTTTTCTGTGCACTTGATTATTTTTCAAGTGGAATCAAGTGCAGTGAAGGGCAAATTTTCAGGATTTGAATCAATGGAGACCTTCATGTTCACTGTAAACTGGTGTTATGTTGAAGAGGTAAACTGACTGTAGGTGTTGTAATGTAAATCCAGAGAGCCAAACAGCTGTATGTTTCAGTTAATATTTAATTTTTATGGGTAATGTTTATTGTACTTACTGCAACTTTCTCTCTACCACTCAGGCTTTTCTTGGGAAACGATTCCTCAGCCACAAACTCCCCAGTCAGGGAAACACCCAGGTCGCCCCCTACTTGCAGCTCAGGGGAGAGCATGGACTCAGTCAGTGTGTCCTCCAGCGACTCAAGCCCATCGGACATCGAGAGCATGACGCCCACACACAGTCTCCACACACAAATGAAGAAGGTAAGCATACTTAGGCATTTATGCACCGAGCAATAAAAATATTGTTTTTTAAGAATTTTTTATTGTGATTATTATTTTATTTAAAAATATTTATTGAACATTGGTGAGTATTTTGTTGTACTGTATTTTTACACTTTTCTAAAAGCAGTGAGCTACTGGAGATTGATTTTAGTGAGGGTTAAGGGGGTTTTACTGAGCTTCATGTTATGCCACCTCATAACTGTGGTAACATCACTGTAATGCTCATGCCACTCTATAACTGTGGTAACATCACTGTAATGCTCACGCCACTCCGTAACTGTGGTAACATCACTGTAATGGTCATGCCACTCTATAACTGTGGTAACATCACTGTAACGCTCATGCCACTCCATAACTGTGGTAACATCACTGTAACGCTCATGCCACTCCATAACTGTGGTAACATCACTGTAACGCTCATGCCACTCCATAACTGTGGTAACATCACTGTAATGCACACGCCACTCCATAACTGTGGTAACATCACTATAATGTACGGCCTCAAGTGGCTTAATACTTTACTCTGAGTCTGATCTGCAATCCTGTGTCTCCTCAAGATGTCCGAGTCTTCCTCCTGTACATCTCTCCACTCCATGGACACCTCCTCATCCTCAGCAAGCGGTCCAGGATCTCTTGCCTCTCCTGCGCTACCTGGCTCTGCCCCCTGCATTCATCGCCGCTGTGCCTCACTCACCCCACTATCCCCAACCTCACCCAGCTCACCCTGCTTGCCCCTTGCTTACAACACCCAGGCCCAAGACGCCTGCATCATCAGAGTCAGCCTGGAGCAGGGCAATGGAAACCTCTACAAGAGCATAATGGTTAGTTTGTTGGTGGTAGTGTTAATGTTGTAATTATCAATGTATCAGTAGTGCTGTTGTTATTGATTAATGCATATTAATCACAGTTACCTCAACAGTAAAATGTATCTTAAATATTTTAACCATGTGATCTATTTCTCTAGCTGACCAACCAGGACAAAACCCCTGCAGTGATCAGCAGGGCCATGGCTAAGCACAACCTGGATGAGGAACAGGCAGAGGCCTATGAGCTCGTTCAAGTCATCTCAGATGAGAGAGGTATTTTGAGCCACAAAAGCCCTTCCACACCTGTGACCCCTGACATGACTTACATAAACAGCAATAATGATGATTATATTAGGCTACATTCACACAGCAGGTAAAAGTGGTCCAAATCTGTTTGGCTGTTCACAATATCTTTTAAACGTGACCTCTGTGTGACATCAGTCTGAACAGATCAGCTCCCAAACTGACCCGCATGCGCAAAAGAACAGAGCGTCACGTGGCTCCTCCAGAGGTAAACAATCACGACTGCCAACTGACTGAACGCTGGGCTCATTACCCAGAATGTGTTCCAGCTTGCCGTAAAAAGGGCTCAGTCACTTCTTTGGTTTGCGTCCTTGGATTCCTTAACTTTTTTGTTAACTTTTCCTTTACGCTGCAGCCTCACTCTCCTACGGCCACGTTCGGCCATTTCTTTCTGTTTCTGTTTTGTACAGAAACATCACTCCAAATGTTTGAGGTCTCAGCAGAACAAATTTATGACGAACGTGGAGTTGGATTGACACGAATGTCGCATGAATTCCGATCTGGCTGTTCAGACTGAGTCGCCTTGGATACGAATCGGATTTCAGTACCACATATGAAAGCGTCTCGAATCAGAATTGAAAATGTCAGATTCAGTGTGTTTTTTGCTGTTCACACTGACACACAGATGTGTGTCACATATGAAGTAAAAGATCTGATTTGGGCCACTTTTACCTGCTGTGTGAACACAGCCTTATTCGCACGCATCACTTTTTCTGTAATACTTGGTTCAGCATCTAGTTGCCTTAATTGCGACTGTCTTGTAAGGCAAGGATTACAGCTGTCTCTCGAGAGCATGAGACCCTGATGATGTTTGTGTAGTAACAAATTGTCATAATGAACAAATTATTGTCATAATGACAATAATTTGTCACCATCTGGGTAGAGATGCACTGATCTGATTTCATCATAGGCAAATTGGGTGATGGCCAATTTTTTACCATTTTTATTTAAGTAAAATGTAAATAAATGTTTTCAGATAAAAAAAGCACTGGAAACGTACAGTTTTTCACTTCATCTTTTAATCTAATAAGTGAGCACATTAAACACACAAAGTTGCATCATAAATAACATTATTTGCTCATTTAAAGAGTCAAACTGACATTTTAAATTCATAAATGGAAAAAGTTGCCTATTTAAATAACATGAATTGAATAAATTGCTACAAATTACGGTTTAATTTATGATTGATTGCTTTTAAGCTTCTAAAAAATGTGAAGCTGTTTAGGAAATTAGTTGCAATTCCTACATCATTCAAGCAATTTGGATGTAAATACCCTCAAATTACAGATGAAAGTCTAAAAGTCTTGATTATTTACTTTCAACTCCAATAAGTAACAATCATTTTGTCAACATCCAAATGTTTCTGGACCTGACTGTAAAGGTTTTGGAGGGTTGATTCTGTTGAAATGCAGTCTTAGTATTAACCCATAAGAGAAGGACTGTGCTTGTGTGGATGTTAATCAGAGACGTTCTGATTCGTCTTCTCACCACACCTCCCCCTCTCTCCTTCTCTCCCTCTCTCAGAGCTGGTGATCCCGGACAACGCCAACGTCTTCTATGCCATGAACACCTCCGCCAATTTTGACTTCGTGCTTCGCACGCGTGGCTCCGAAGGACGGCCGGTCCAGCTGCGTTCTCGCTGCAGCTCTACGCTCCCGCGCACGCAGCATCGCGCCAGCCTGTCCCTCAGGCTCAGCAAGGTCACCCTGTGACCTCAGACCCCAGGCCAGAGTCAGCGGGGCACTTATCTGTGAAGAGACTGGAAGGCCACCTGTGGAGTCTGTGGGACCGTAGCCCGTGCAATGCTCTCCAAACGACAGTATTCCTGACTCAATGCCTGACGCGTGAATGTTTTCCATTCCGTTATTTGTCACGTGACCCTTCATTCACAGGCTGGGCCTTCAGTCTGGTTGCCTCGTGCTGCTCCAGGCCGGAGGGGTAATCTGGGTAATGGAGTTTTCATACCCTCATCCCAAAGAGACAGTGGACTCTCTCTTACCAGTAGGCCCTCTGTGGCTGGACATGTAGGAAAATTATTCCAGTGCTTTGTCAGTATTGCGCTCTTACTGAGCAGCTCGCCGCCTCTGTCTGAACGACAGACAGAGTTCGTCCTATGGCCTTTATCAGTGATGATGGGACTATTGCACCAGTATTGGAAGTGATCGGTGGGAACTGTGGTGTCATCATCGTCTCTGTGTCTTTTTCATGTCCCCGTGTGCACTGTGTGGACAGCGTGGACAAGCAGCCTTGTGGTTAGAAGTCTAAAGTGTGGCTTATACTGCCCCCTGCTGCCTCTCTAAGTCAATGTCTGTGTCTCTCATATTGTGAGCTGTGTGACGAATGCAGGAGAAGAGCATTCTGATTGGCTTGAACAAGTCTGTGGATGTTATTTCTTTGCTGGGTGGTTCTTAGCATGTGGTCATACCGATAGGAAGGCTGGCCACTCCGGAATCTGGACTGAGCTGAGCTCTGATTGGTTGCACTTGCTAAAAGGTGGAGTGGGGTTATAAAAAGAAAAGAAACGGAAAGGAAAGGAAAAAAAAAGCAAAGCAATGCAGTCTTCCACTCCTTCGGCACAATAAGAATGGTGTACTTAGATTTTTTATGTATGTTTTGTAAGACAGAAAAAAAAAATATCTGTAAAAATGTTATTGAGAGAAAGATTTGGTAAGTTTTTTTAATGATTTGTAACTGAAATAATGTTAGAAAAGGTAAAAAAAAAAAAACTGTGAAGCAATGAAGGCGACTGTATAACCACAGGTGATATTAACTTAAACCCTGCTACATAACGTTGATATAACCATGCCTTGAGCATGTCATGGGAGCGGTCATATGCTGTAATAAGTGGTCATGATACATTATGTCCAGCATCATGTTACCATGACTGGTAACTGTCATGACAGCTAGATAAGAGTATCAGCATTTGACATAAGCTGTCATGACACTGAACATTATGGCATTTGTCATTGCAGTTACTAGGAATGATAACATGACAACAAATGACATCTGCCATGACATGTTTATGGCACGGTTATGTCAGTGTTATGTAGCCGGATTGAAGTAAAGCGTTAGCTGGTATTCAAATCACCCAGGATGTCCACTATGTTCTCTATGTCAGCTGTCTTCAGTCATGTCCTTCAGGATCTCTGGCTCCATGTTTTTGCTTGATCCTGGCTTCCAACACCCTTGAGGCAGGTAATTGTGATGTATGTGACTACAACACCGCTAATGGGTTATATAATTATATTCATAATAATCATAATAATAATAATAATATGGCTTCTAGGATAGCACAGATTGTCTGGTTCAGGTGTGAAGCTAAAACAGAAACAAAAACAAGGACTGGACTTAAGATCCTAAAGGACTGGATAGGAAAGCTGTGTCCTACATATCTGTACAGGTCTCAATCATTCTTGTAATTCCCAACTTAATGATGTTCACACTAACCTTCGCATGTATGCACTAAGTCAACTATCACCACCGCCTTTATTATGAAGTGTTCGTTGCACCTGCACAGTGCATTTTTTCCCCACCGATGGCTGCACTATTGGTTTTACACCCCCCTAAAGCCGTGGCATTCACACCCAGCCTCTTTGCAGTTTGTGTTTTCCTTGCTTTTAAACCTTTCCTCTTGTGTTACGAGTTGTAGGTGTTTAAGAGTGGGGCAACACTTGATTGTGCACTACAGTTTATATGCAGGGGCTGGGAACTGAATAGCATAGCTAACGAAGACTTGGGGAGCCTAGATCTCTGAGTTTTATTCATTTTCCCATATTGTGGGGAGCATCAGTAAAAGCCAGGCCTACAGCTTCTGCTAAAGCTCTACGCTTTTCCTTTTGTTGTTGTACCTCATCTGTGCTACCACTGACCTGCATTCCTCATCCATTCAGAATCCTGTTCTTGCATGTGCCATACGTACTTTATAATCTCTTGACAGGATCGCTGAGTTCTCCCAGTGTCTCGGCGGCCATAACTCGCTGACACTGCGGCCACAGAGCGCTCTGGGCTTCGTTTTAAAGCAGCGGGTCAGGCAGTGGTAGCTGGTTCATTTGTCTTAAATTCAAATGCAGCACTTGTGAATTTTTCTCAGTTTCTTATTTTGAGTATTTCTTCATTGCCAAAGAGTTCTCTATCTACCAGAGTTAGCAAATAAATTATCATTATGACCATGAAATGTTTTCTTTTTTGTAATTGAATATTCATTTTCCTGAATTAAACTGAAGTGTCTGAAGAGTCTGTGATATTGTTTGGATGGGATTTCGTCCTCATGCAATTCAACATGCATACATTATTAGAAAGTTGTAGCCTGGGGGGGGGCATATTACAGAAAAGTCTTAAGTCTGAGATCATATCTGCTTTGTTGTCATGGCAACTTCAGTTAAGACTGAAGTTAGGACAGAAGCCGTTACAGAACAGCAGTTCTTAAGTCTATAATCTTATTTCCAGATAAGAAAACGGTTTTACAGAAACATTCAAAGTTGCCAAAATATCCTAAATATTATCTTAACTTTAAGATAAACTCCAGAGCGTCTTAACTTCTGTTTTAACCGTCTGTTTTAGTGTTTTATGCAGTGACAGGCAGCACAGTTCACTATAACCAGCATAATGACGTCACATTCATCTACACTGAAAACGTTTTTTTTTTTCAACAGCGTTTTTTAAGAACCAAACAGTGGTATGTTTGTGTGTAGAACTGAGCAGGTTCTCCGTTGTTAGGAGGGATTTGGACTGTGGCCAGGTGGAGAACTATATTAGGAAACAGAGAACACAGAGCCTATGATCAAAAATTAGTTTATTCTATCAGAAGAATGACCTCTTTCTAGTCATTTTCACTCAGTTTCTTTAAATAACTATTTTTTTTCTTGATATCTTTGGCTTAGCATGTTAACACAATGACATTTCTCAATATTTCAAGTGGTTATGTCAAAAAAATTCTATATTATATGTCAAGACATAAGGTTGTTTTTACATTTTTAAAAATGTAAACTTCTGAGCTTTTTAAGAGTTAGAAAATGCTTATACATGGACTTAAACATTGCAGCTTGTCTCGTTTAGTGTTCAGTGCTTTGCTTTATATAATACTCTATATGATTTTGTATAACTGAAAACAGTCTGCGTCCCTTCCAGACAAATCAACACATGGTTTTCTGTGAATTCACTTCCTCGGAACACTAATAGTGTTGGTGTCATATATTTTATGCATGTAGGAACAATAAACACATCTGAATCGTGCAAATTCATGGCAGAAACATCCTGTCTGTTGTGCAGTAATTCCTCAAATGTAATAACTCTAGATGTCCATGAGGGGGAGCCAGAAACACACTCAGCCATGTGCACGCGCGGTAAGGTTTTTTTTTCTTTTTCTTCTCCTTTTTTTACTCTGTAAAAACGATTCATACTTAATAAGCTTTAATTATTGTTCATTTGAATGTCCTGTCACTCTGTTACACTGTTGTGCTTGTTATTTCTCTCATATTGAGAAAATTACAACAGACACACATTCATTAACCCACATCTGTTACTCTTCCATTCTGTTCATCGCTTTTGTAGAATGAAGTCTGGAACTGGACTTACAGTCCCCCAGATTTAGGAGCGTTTCTGCCATGCAGAGCTTTTTAAAGCGTCTCGGATGATCTTTACTGTCAGCTGTTAGTATAGCTTAAGGTTTACTTGGGAGGGTGTTTGAGCATCAGAATACTTTGCTAATGCTGTCTTGGCTAGGCTTCAAGGTAGACAGTAGTATCTCACGACATAGACTAATATTGGGGTCGTTCTACAGAAACGTCCACTTTTCTATCTCTCCATAGGAGTCACTGGTGTTACTGGTCCTCATTGGTGTTACACATAATAAAGGGAACACCAGGGACATTTTAATGAACAATGCATTTTACAAAATGGCTGCTACAGAGCATCAAACTACATGTTGTCAATCATGGAATATCCACTAAAATATGTAATTTAATCCATTTGTATTCTATTTTTTCAGTTACCTCAGAATAAAGTCGGTCACACCAGTGACTTCAGCTAAAAGCTTCATATGAAATCATGAGCTAAATGAGAAAATCTCTGATAACTGAAAGACACAGTGGACTCACCATGTGCTTTTCTTCATAGATCCTCAGAGAACAGGTAAAAGGAAGTCGAGTGATGTCATCAGTGTGACTTTTATTTCAAAATAAGAGATTTTTTGTTACGCGGTGTCACCGCGTAACAAAACACCAGTGACATGACTCCTGGGGACAACTTTCATTATATATTTTATAATATTTATTTGGCATTTGTTTTCTTTGTGTCATTTAATTTCTATATCCCATAGTCATGTATAGATTATTGTAGTTAAAATTGCAGAAAAACATGTTTTTTTTTCTTCAAAATATGGCCTCATCTTGGGAAACATTCAGGCAGAGAACTTGTAGAGAGGAGAATTTCCACTCTGCAATGTCTTCCGGGTTTCTCTAACACTAGAGGGCGCTCCCGAGTGAGTCCAAAATGAATGGGTTGATATGGAGCATTTCAGCAAAATCATAGTTTATAAATGCTTAAACATTTTTAATGTAAAAGAATACAACTATAACCTGAACAGTGAACAGCATAAAACATTTTAACACTGCTGTTATATTTTTAAGAGCTTTTAAACTCGAGTTATAGGAGTTTAAAACAGCACCTCTTGTATGTTCATGATGTCAGTGAGCACGAACAGCCAGTGAGCTGCTCCGCTCGCCAACTAATCAGCACTCACGAGCAGTAATGCCTGCTTTCTGCTGCCCAAAACTCGTTTGTTGTAGAAAAAAGGAAACATACAGGTGAGTTTTTTTTTTGTTTTTTTAGTGAAATCCATCCTTCTGCTTTCTAAAATTTAAGAAACGTTCTGGGAAAGTGATTAGAAACTATTTTAACTTTTAGTTTTTAGCCGTTGAGCATCACTTACTCCTATTCATTGAGGACTCACTCGCGGGCGCCCTCTGCAGTTTAGCAGTCCTGTTTTTGATATAACAGGGGAAATAGGAAGTGGCCAGGCTCCTCATGAACCGGCTCTGGTTCAGGGCTGTCTCCCCTTTGACATGACCTGGAAGAACACCTGTCCAGACCAGCCTGGCACTCTTTACAACACTCTTTGCTTCACTTTGCTTTGCTTGTAAAATTTATGAAAGCTTTGTTAGATTCATTGAAGCTCTTTTTGAAGATTTGGATAGTAGGGAATGAGTGCTATTTTGTTTTGGTTACCGTTTCCCCTGGTTTTAAAGCAGGGACATAGAGTAGCCGTTTGTATTTTTGTTTCGCTTTGCTTTCAGGTTTAGTTAGATTTGTAATCATATTTGTAATTAGTTATTTTGCTTGTTATTTTGGCGTATGCCCGTCCCTGAAGCCATCAACCCAACTTATGTTTGAGCTTTTGAAATAAATAAACCGGCCATTTTCTGACTTCCATGGTGTCCGGTGTCTGGTCTGGCACCGGGTCTGGGGAGAGAGCCCACTCTCATTCTCTGTTACGGCCTGACCCTAGACCGGGTCGTAACATAAGTTAACTGAAAGAATTTAAAAGAAATTATGTTCATTTGTGTAGAAATGATGTACATACTTGAAAGTAAATCTAATTTCTATAAATTCAATGTGTTGCTTAGTTATTCTCCAAAAAAAAAATACATATTATTACACAGCTGTGTCAGTTTAGATCAGTTTTATTTGCTGCATCAAAACCATATGCATCATTTTCCAAAACAGTGAACACAAATACAGCACGTATTCATGTTATAATAAAATAAAAAACATGGTTCACATCTACAAAAGGTAAATCTTGTGAGCATGTGAGATACTGGAAGTGATTTCTGTTTGAGAGTTATTGGACTGGTGGAAACACGTTGTTGTGGTTTGCTGAGATGAACACATGCAGCAAACAGGCTCAAAAAATTGTTTATGAGTCAAATATGTAACACATTCAGATGGGTATTGAAGGTGTTTGGCGAGTGTAGATGGGCAGAACTGGTAGAACTGCTGTGTGTTGGGACTGTAGAGGCTGGAGCAGCTCAGATGATGGGCGTCCTGCAGAGATAAAGCAGACATGAGTATTAAAGCATTGTTTGTTTTCAGATTCTGTGCTAATAGATGCACAATGTACTAAGAAGTTCCACTGCCATCAGGGAAGTGGGAGGTGGGAATGTTGAGGACCCTCAGATTTTAGGATCGCTTAACTGCAACTGCTAAAAATTATTTAAAAATCAGAGCTTTAAAATGATTTTGAGCCTATTAAAGACCCATGTGTGCTTATCAAGGGCAAAGTTTTATTACACACTCCTATAACCTAAGAACAGCTCAGCCAGTCTGCACTGAAGTCCCTGTAGTTACTGAATAATAAGCCTTAGTGTGTAATAAGCCTCAGATTTTAAGGGGTTAATATATATTTTTACCTTGTAGCAGTTTAATAGTGACTCTTGTAGTAAAGAGTCCTGTCAGTGATGTATCTAGAACTTCCAGAAGGCATAGAATTATGTGTTTCACACAAAAATTGGTTCCACCCGCTATAAATCAAAACGTGATTGGTTGATTCCACTGTCAGTTCCTGATCATGTTAGTGGTTAATTTGAGGTATTAGGTCTTCAGTTCAGCTCCTGAAGTCCTAACCAATGAGAGAGTTTGTTTGACTGTATCTACCTAGATACCATACACTTAAAAATGATGGCTCTTCAAGGGTTCTTTAGTAAAGAAAATGGTTCTATATAGAACCATGAACACTCAAAGAACCCTTTGCATGGTGAAAGGGTTCTTCGGATTGATGGAGAATGTGCTGTAGATGTTTCTATATTAAAGCTTTTTGAAAAGTGTTCTATATAGCACCAAAAAGGGTTCTTCTATTGTCACAATGTCAAGCATGTAACAGCAGGAGAACCCATTTTGGCACTATTTAGAGACCGTTTTCAAAAAGCTTCTATGTAGAACCATATACACACACTCTCCATCAATCTGAAGAACGCTGTCATGATGCAAAAGAACCCTTTAATCATGCAAAGGGTTCTTTAAATGTTCATGGTTTTATATACCGTTCTTCAAATTGATGGCAAGTGTGTTTTATTTGGTTCTATACAGAACCTTTTTGAAAAGGGTTCTATATGGCACCAAAAAGGGTTCTTCTATTGTTACAATGTCAAGCCTGTAACAATACAAGAACCCTTTTTGGTGCTATGTAGAACCCTTTTCAAAAAGGTTCTGTATAGAACAAAAAAAACGCATCCTGCATC